CTGGTGATGGGAGTGTGTCTGAACCAAAGAGATCGGTGATTCGTCGAAAAGGCGGTGATTCTATGAGTGTTTCATCGCCGGATAAATCAAGGAAAAGAAAAAGAGTTGAAGGGAAATCAATGTTGGCATCTACAGAGGTGTCAAAGACAAGGCATGAAATTTCATATGGGTCGCTTGTGTCATCTCCAGAGAAGGCCACAAGGCGTGGGACACCATATGGTGGTTCAACTCTGTCTTCTAGAGTTGCGAAGAAGCACAAAAGATAAATGATGGGTCAATTGTGGCTCCTCCTAGAAACTCGGAGAAGAGTCATGTATATGGTGATGACAGAGAAGAATGTCCCCATAGTGAGACAAATGAGATGTTGGCATCTACAGTGGCGTCAAAGACAAGGCGGGAAACTTCATATGGGTCGTATGTGTCATCTCCAGAGAAGACTCACAAGGCGTGGGACACCATATGGTGGTTCAACTCTGTCTCCTAGAATTGCAAAGAATCAGTAGGTAAATGGTGGTTCAACTGTGGCTCCTCCTTGAAACTTGGAGAAGAGTCATGTAAATGGTGATGACAAAGAAGAATGTCACCAGAATCATGTAGATGGTGATGACAGAGAAGAATGTCCCTAGAGTGAGACAAATGAGATGAATTCTCCAAGTGAATAAGAGGAATTTGGGGATATAGGTGATGATGGTAGGCTAGAATTAGAAGATAAGAATGGTATTGCTGGCATTCAAGAAAAAAACTGTGGAGTTTTGGGTCGTTATTTTGGTGATGAAGAAAGAAATGGTGACTGTGAGGTTGATGAAGACGAAGGGGATGATGATGCAAGGGATGATGATAAAATCCATGATCATGTGTCATCAGATGATGAGAATGAAAAGGAGATGATACATGCGCAAGCTTACAGAGCAGACACAGATCCAGAGGAGCTCCTTCAGCTTGGCAAGACATTTTCAGATACTGAGGACTTCAAACATACTTGTCTCAAATATACCCTCAAAACCAGATACAACATCAACTACTACAGATCCAGTAGCTTGAAGATTGGTGCAAAATGTGCTGCTGAGATGAGAGATGATGAGGATCCTTGTCCCTGGATGGTTTATTGTTCTTACGATAAGAGGAAACAAAAGTTGATGGTAAAGACATACGTCAAATACCATAAGTGTGAGAAGACAGAGCATTCCAAGATCCTTAAGAAGTCAGCAATTGCAAATCTATTTGTTGAGATTAAGGCTGAATCCTTAGCTCTCAGCAAAAGAGATACATGTTGAGATCTTGAGGGAGTATCAGATGGAAGCCAAAGAAAACTCATGCATTAAGGCTAAAATGAAGTTGATGAGAGAAAGGAGGAAGACCCATGAGGAGCATATTGATAAAATCTGGGATTACCAAGCAGAGATCTTCAGGAGCAATCCTTGATCAACCATGGACATTGAAACCATACCAGGAGCCACAGTTGGAAGCAAGCAGATGTTCTACAGGCTCTACATGTGTTTTCAAGCACAAAAAGAAGCATGGAAGAAGACTTGTAGGCCAGTTGGCTTAGATGGAGCTTTTATGAAATTGGACATCAAGGGACAGTTGTTGGCTGTGGTTGGAAGAGATGGAGAGAATAAGATTGTCCCTATTTCTTAGGCTGTAGTGGAGATAGAGAATGATACAAATTGAGATTGGTTTTTTGAAGCGTTTGGCCTTGGATTTAAGATTGGAAGATGAGAAAGGCTTTGCTATAATGTTTGACAAACAAAAGGTAAACACTTTGCTTTCGTGAGTTTCTCTGTATGTTTGATTCTTGTTTCTGATTTTTTTTTGTTTCTGATCTTGTAGGGATTAGTGAAGGCAATTCATACCCTCTTTCTAGAAGCTGAGCATAAGCAGTGTTGTCGCCATATATACGAGAACTGGAGGAAATGTGGAAAAGATATATGGTTACAGAGGTTCTTCTGGTTCATTGCAAGGAGCTACACTCCTGATTTGTTCAACTACAACATGGATGAGCTTAAGAGCTATCATCCAGGTGCACATGCATCTCTGATAAAGACAAAGCCAGAGACTTGGTCTAGAGCTTTCTTCAAGATGGGCTCCTACTGCAATGATAATCTGAAAACCTTGTGTGAGTCCTTCAACAAGACCATCAGGGAGGCTAGGAAGAAGCCTCTGCTAGACATGCTAGAGGAGATAAGGCGTAAAAGTATGACTAGGAACTACAATAGGTCTAAGATGGCTAAGGACAGAAAGACTAGGTTCACCAAGAAAACACATAGAGAGTTAGACAGGGCTGAGAAGATAAAGCGCCAATGTAGACTGCGTTGGGCAATTGGGCCAGTGACTGAGGTGGAGTATAAAGAGAAGTCATATGTTGTGAGTTTGGAGAAGGAGACTTGTGCATGTCGAAGCTGCCAAATCAATGGTATTCCATGCATCCATGCTGCTAAGGTCATCCTTGGTGCGGACAGAAAATTTTATGAATTTATTGCTTCTTACTACACAACCTCAAAGTGGAGTGAAACCTACAGTTATGGAATCAGACTTGTAAATGGGATGATAAAGTGGCGTCAGACCAATATATTAGGTGTGATTCCACCACCTAATCGAAATGGCAATCCTGGTAGGCCTAAAAACCATGATAGAAAGAAGAGAACCAAGGAGACAGGGTCTACTACCAACCTGAGCCGTGTGAAAAGAGTTATAACATGCTCTAATTGCAAAGAAGAAGACCACTACAAGAATTCATGTCAGAATGCTTTTGTTCAGAGTCCACCTAAGAAACCAAGAGGCAGACCAAGGAAAAATCAGGTTAGGGTCTTAGTTTTTTAGCTATTGGTAATGTGTCTGAGTTTTTTGAGGTTATTGACAATTCATTTATATGATAGAGACTACATTTTGGAGAGTCACAAACTCAATCCTCACAAGCTCAAACATCACCATGGGAAGTTCCCCAATCTTCACAAGGTCAAACCTCACAAGCTCAAGCATCACCAAGGGAAGTTCCCAAATCTTCACAAGATCAAGCATCACGATGAGAAGTTCCCCAATCTTCACAAGGTCAATCTTCACAAGCTCAAGCATCACAGACAAGAGCGTGGAGAAGATGGTTCTCTTAGATCAATTTTAAATGCTTTTGAAACAAGAACTACTCTTTTGTTTTCTTGTGTGTTGATGATGGTGTCTCTGTCGGAATGCTTTTGTTTATCTCTGTTCAGTCTTGTGGAACTAGTTTCTTTTCTTTTGTTGTTTAAATTTGTCATTCTGTACCAACATTTGTCTTTTGGTGTGTTCATTGTGTGTCGGAATGCTGCTGTTTTAATTTGTATGCTGCTGTTTTAATTTTTCCTTATGATGGTGTGTTCATTGGTGTGTTCATTTGTCCTTCTGTTACCATCGATGTACTATCAAGAAGTAAACAAAGTCTCGTAAATCATGAGTCGAAATCTTTAGACTTACATAAATGATGAGTCCAAATCACTGAAATCATTAGAATTACATAAACAAAGTCTCGTAGTAGCTATTCAAAAACAACCCATTTGCGTTATCGAACATGATCAACACAAGACATATCACAATGCTTAAGCAAACCACCAGAAAACCCACTTTCATGATCACATTCAGCTTCTTAAGTTCATTGCTCGCCTTTCTGACATCTTCTTTCAACGCTTCGTCCACAGTTTTGATGCTTTCCATGATCTATTTTAATTTTCATAAGATCCGATGCAAAGCACTCAACTTTTGGCAATGCATCGTGAACCTTTTCGTTGACAGTTTCATCTACCCATTTATACAAGTGATCCTGGACACAAATAGAATCATAATTGACTATTACATCTCATTACCTAGCCATTGAAGCTTTATGTTCAAACAATTTCTTAAACACAAACAATTGCACCCTTAATAAAATTAAACACTTACATTTCAAAACGTTGGGCATCTAAAAAAAGTTCTTCCTCGATTTTGCTTCAATTTTGATGTGTGTATCCCAGTGCTTCGACTACATTAGCATTTCTCCGGAATACCACGAATACCATCATATTCACAGACGAATCATCACAACCCGAACTCGAACTCATCATGCGATACTCGAAGAAGAAAAGGTGAGAATCGAGCTTCTTAAGGAAGAAATTAAAGAGAATCGAGCTTAGATTCTTAGGGTTCTTCGTCGATTTAAGATTTTGGGAATTTAGGGTTTACTTCGTTTATAGACATCTGAAGAGAAAACACCGTCTTTTCTTTTTGATTCATTTAACTCGAATGTTTTATGTTAAAAGGAACTATCTTCGTCAATCCATTGAAAAGTCTACTAGCTCAGTGGTAAAACCACTCGTAATTTTGATAGAGTGGAGTCGGCTTTGCACTCTGAGCTGGAAGCACTGCGGTGGACAATGGAGAACATGCTTCAACATTCGCCATTCAGAGCTTTGGAATAGACTGCAAGGAAATGATAACAATGCTCAGGAATCCAAAGGACTGGCCAAGCTTCTCAACGGAATTAGAAAAACTCACGACGTTGCGGATTTGTTTTCCAGATTTTAAAATTTTCTATGTTCCTAGGACACAAAACGGAGTTTCCGATTCCTTAGCTAAGACTGCTCGATCTTTCTATCGAGATTTGGTGTATGTTGGTTGTTCTATTCCGGTGTAGATTCCCAGACCATCTCAAGTTTGAGTAATAGATCAGCCGTTCATTGTAAAAAAAGAAAAATTAAAATCTAGTATTATTTTATTATTGAACACATTATCGTGCATGCAATTGGGTATATTTTGCAAGTCGGCTGATTTGACGTTTCTCTCTTTCTCCACCATTCCTTTTTATCCCTTCCCCATGTTTGGTCATTGTCTGTATTCACTTGGTCGGTTTTACAAATAAGCCTCACCCCATTATTTTTCATTATTATTACTATTAACTGATAAGAGAGAGTATATTTCATTCATAGAAATAAAACACATTTTATTCATCATTTCTACTCTTGTAACCAAAAGATCCATAATATTGACTTTAAATGTAACAAGATTGTTCTGTATCGTAGTTTTTTCAAATAAATAGCATTGGTAGAACCCTTGTTTTTCAAATTAAATCTTTATAGTGGAATCCTCTCAATCTCAGTGTGAATAACATAAAAGAAAGGATTTTGGAAGGGGATACATTGATTAGAAATGAATCAATGATTCGAATAAACCAATCTAAACCGGAGATGAAATGTTGATAACACAGCAACGCAAGAAGAAGAAGAGATTCCAAGTATACTACTAACAAAGCGGACTAAAGAATATCACAAGCAACACAACCGAAGAGCATAAAAAACAGAGTAAATGGACACAAGTATTCTACATGGGCTTTGCATAGTTACGTTTCATCAGCCAAAACTTGAAATAGAAGAAGAGCCAATGAAAACAAAAGTTTGAGAATCTTGGGATAGGTAATAAGCGAGAAAAAACATATAACCTTTTGTTTTAGGTAGAGCAGCAACCTCGTTTCACGCCTCCAGATGTGTCATCAACGTTAATGGTCGTACCTTGTCCTGGAATTGCGGAGTTAGCTGCAGCCGCTTCTTGAGCAGCCAGTGCCTTTTTGCTTATGATATGGTAGATCTCTCCTAAGATGGTCTGAAACGCTTTCTCGACATTTGTTGCTTCAAGAGCAGAAGTCTCCAGGAAAGAGAGACCTTCTTTCTCGGCCAGATTTTGACCATCTTCCTCAGCAACGGATCTCAGGTGGTTAAGATCGGATTTGTTCCCAGCCATCATGATCACGATGTTGGAATCAGCATGGTCTCTCAGTTCGCGAAGCCACCTCGAGGCATTGTCAAATGTCTGCCTCTTGGTGATGTCGTAGACAAGGAGTGCACCCACTGCGCCTCTGTAGTAAGCGCTGGTGATGGCCCTGTACCTCTCCTGACCTGCAGTGTCCCAGATCTGAGCCTTAATCGTCTTTCCTTCCACCTGTGAAACCATTAAAGAGATTCAAGATAACAACCTGTTAGATCTCAACAGCCCTAGACTACGAACAAGAATGCTAACGTTTCAACAATCGAAAGTTAGGAACGCATTGAGAAAACAGCCTCTCCAGCTGTTGAGGTCAACTTAGTACCATTGACCGTCAGCATTTTCAATCCATCTCTACATGTCGTATACAACTACTGTACTTGATGTATAATTTATGTTAATGTGTATGATAAAATTATCTTTGTTGTAAGTTTATTGGTTGACTTAAAGGGTGGGCTAAGTCATTCATGAAAAAGAACAAGAATAATCAGAGAATTATTGAGGACAAAGTTGTGAGAATCTTGTCTTCTTTATTTATCAAATTGGCACTCACGACCATCCAATAAAAAACTAATCTTAAATTGAGCAAAAGCATCGGTCAAAACTTATGTCCAGCACATCTAAGATTCTCTACTGGAAAAAAAAAAGAAAGAAAACTCTCAACAACGACAACAAAAGCACAATCAACTCATCCCCCTGGATATATTCTCAAACGTTAAACTCTTTGACCCAAAGAAACCAACAAGCGAGAGTTACAAGTCCTTTCAGTACCCATTAGTGATCATGACAGCAAACAATGTATTCCTTAGACTGACCTAAAAGCCTCCCCAATCAATAGACCAAAGACAAAGAGGATGCAACTTCAAATTCCTTAGACATTAAATGAACTAATCGAAGACCTAAATTCTAAAGTGATGGTGCAAGTAAAACCAAAACGCAAAAATGTAAAAGCATATTTAGCAGCTATGGATTACAGGTCTCCAAAGTCACATACACATATATCATCTAAAATCTCATGAAATCTGAATATCATCATCGAGTGAAAGAGAATAATGACCTGAGTAGTTCTGGTGGCGAATTCGACACCGATGGTGGATTTGGATTCCAAGCAAAACTCATTCCTCGTGAATCTCGACAATATGTTCGATTTCCCCACACCCGAATCTCCGATCAACACGATCTTAAACAAATAATCGTATTCCTGATCCACCCTATTCGCCATTTCTCAAACCCTACACAACACGGAATCAGAACCCACAACACAGAGACCAAGTTAACAATCAGAAGACGAGAAAACGATTCTCTACCCTTTCGAAGAATCGAGCTTTCAGATCTGAGGAGGACGAAGGTTGAATTTGATAGGGATTTGGTTTCTTTCTTTTTTAACAATCTACGAATTTTTGTTCTGTGTAAAATGGAAAGTTTTGACCAACTGTTTGATTTGTTTGCCTTTCTTTCAGAGAGAGACAGAGGAAGCAATAAAGTTTATATACGAGCGTATATACGCGTCTAAATACGTATCTATACCAAGCATTTTGTGTCACGGTACATAAACGACGTCGCGTTCTACAAAAGGACAAAGGCTCCAATTACGATGCTGATGTGGCGACGAATGATTCGTTAGCCGGCTGGCAAAAAGTAAGAGCATGTTCCAAGCGTTATATTGCAATTTTCAAAATAATTTCTGCTTTTTTTTAAGGAAAATTGCCAAAAAGACAAAATAGCCATACTATTGTCCCCTTAGAACAAAATCAACTTTTTGCATGTTTGGATCTTCACTATCTTTTTTGTCTTTGAAAATTCATATTAACTTTTTTACAAGGTAAAAAATTATGGGAAAATAGTAAACTTGATGTAGATAACCATATTCATATAAGAAAGATATTTTTGTTTTTAAAATATCTTTAAATTGTAAATTCAAAAATGGAGTAAATGTGTTAGTATCTACGATCTACCATCTACGGCGATGTAGAATATGTAATCTAACAGAAAGACAGCGTTCTAAACAGCTTAGAATGCGCAATATATCAAAAACATATATAACTATGAGCTCATAATATATAATCTACCGAAGTCTATGTAATCTACGGTTTTGGTTGACTGTAAGTCGTAGAGGTAATCATTTATCTAGCTTGGTAGGAACTGGATTCTTGACATTGTTTTTGTATCTACAATCGTCGTATACCATATCATAGTTCTTCGTCTACCTTCTATAGTGGTAGAATGTAAGTTCTGAAAAAAAAACAAACAAGATCCGAAAATCTAGCCAAAAACGGTTAAGTAATATTCTGTAAATCTTTTTAATATTTTAATTTCCTTTTTTAAGTTTTCTTCCAAAAAAAAATTGAAAACCTCCTCTTCTCACACAACTTAGGGATTCATTGTGTGTGTTTTTCATCTTTTCTTCTTCTTTCAATTCTCTTTGCCACAAAAAAATATGAAGATTCACATCTACGCTTCATGTGGTTTGTGGAAATCGTCAATACACAGTGGATGAGAGTTTCTTGTCGATGAAGCAAAAGGAGGGAGGTTACTTACTTTGGAAACAAGTTTAAGCTTCGAAAACGTAAAGGTTATGGTGTGTGAAGACTTCAAAATTGATGTAAACATGGTCAATATGGAGCTCAGTTACTTGCCTTCAGATTTGATCAATAGCATTGACTCGCCTCCGGTCTTCATCACCAATGGTCGGCAAATTAGAAACTTTCTTAGTTATGTGAAGAACAAAGCTCCGACGCGGTTGTGTGTGAGCATTCAATCTAAGGTGGAGAAAAACAATAGCAGAGGAGATTTTGACTTGAATGAAGAAGCGGCTGACTCTAACAGCGACGAAGAGCCTATGGACATTGACGATTCAGTTGATATAGATTTTGAAGAAGATGTTGATGTAGATGACATCGATCAGGACAACAAGTAAGACTTAGAGAAGAGAAACAGAGATGGTGTTCGCTTTTCTTTGGCGGATGTCGCGAAGAAGGATCAACATTTTAGTTCCAAAACACTTTTGAAGGCAACATTCGAAATATGTGCTATGAAACATAATTTCGACTATAAGGTTGTGAAATCGGATAAAAAAGTGTGGTACATTCGTTGCTCAGATGATGATTGCAGCTGGCGCATTCTAGCAGAAGGTTTAATAGGTTCATCGTATTTCATCATCAAAAAGTATGTACCTGATCATTCATGTGCACCATCGAGAAGGGACGGTTCTGTTCGTTCAGCTTCAGCCAAAACTGTTGGTACTCTGATTATGCATAAGTTTGAAACTTCTAAAGAACACCCGAAATCCAATGATATAATCGAGTATATGCGTAACGATCATGGAGTTGAGATATCGTATTCTTTGGCGTGGGATGCAAGGGAATTTGCAATCAACGCAGTGAAAGGTATTCCCGGGAAAGGTTATGAGAAAATTCCCAAATACTTACACATGATGAAGGAAGCTAATCCAGGGTCACACACGGCTTATGAAACGGATTCGAAAGGGAGATTCAAATTCCTGTTCATCTCGTTTGGTCAGAGTCTTCGCGGTTTCTATGATGGAATTCGGAAAGTCATTGTCGTGGATGGGACGTTTTTGAAGAGCAAATACAAAGGTGTATTGCTGGTTGCTACAGCATTAGATGGAAACTCGAATTTATATCCTATTGCATTCAGAGTTGTCGACTCAGAGAACGACCTTGCTTGGGATTGGTTTATGAGACAACTTAATGTGGTCATTGCTGACGACGATAGATTATCTTTTGTGTCTGATAGGTGTAGCTCAATTAATAAAGCTATTGAGGCAGTATACCCGCAATCTCATCATGGAATTTGCATTCATCACTTGCTGAATAATGTTGTAACAAATACCGGTGGGAAAGGTGTGGCTGGTTTGGTTGCAAAGACATCTAAAGCTTATCGAGCTGCTGATTTTCGTAAGATATTTGCTGCTGTTTACTCTATTAATCCTGACATTGGAACTTATCTCATACTAGCCGATGTCAGGAAGTGGACTCGTTGTGAATTTCCTGGATACATGTATGATATTAGGACTACAAACCCAGCGGAGTCGATAAATTCTGCTTTGAGAACGCCTAGAGAGTTTCCAATAATACCTTTATTGGAGAGCATTAGGGAAATGATAACTCGATGGTTTTTCAATCGTAGAACTCTAAGTTCTAAGCACTCCAAGCCACTGACCATTTCTGTTGAGAAGAAGATTGATAGACGGATTGAGAAAGGTAAAAGGTTTAAGGTCTTCCCAGTTAGCGATGAGAGGTTTTTGGTTCGAGGTGATGTTATTGACTGCATGGTTGACTTGGTCAGACGCACATGTACTTGTGGGAAATTTGATCTGATGAAAATCCTTGCAGACACGCCATAAAAGCCGGCTTCAGTGTTGGAAGAAGACCACACACTCTCATTGACGACATGTACACGACGGCGACATGGAACTCGGCTTACGCAGAAAGCATAAATCCTATTTCTGTCCCTGAAGATGCATGTATTGTTCCTTCTGATGTGGAACAGTCAAAAGTACTTGCTCCCGAGAGTAGACGAGGTGCAGGTAGGAAAAAGAAACGCCGACACGATACAGCTGAAGATAAGATCCGTTCATCACAGGGAACACAAGGCTCTAAAGCTCGGAAATGCAGTAGATGTAGACTTCAAGGACACAATCGAAGAAGATGTGATACACCAATATAGGAGTGTCAATGCGTTTAAAAGACTATTTGTTTTGTTCATGTTTTCTCGGTTTATGCAACTTTTATTTTGAAGACTATGTGTTTCGTTTTGTCTCGTTATGCAACTTTTGTTTTGAAGACTATGTGTTTCGTTTTGTCTCGTTTATGCTTGTTTAGAAGACTATGTGTTTTGTTCGTCCAAGAGTAGTTCTTTTGTTTATCTTCTCGTCGATGTTTTGTATTTTAAAAACTAACACAACTCGTATCTATATTTATAGTATGAGAGCATTAACAATGAATGAGAATGACTCCTCTGGTAAACTATCTATACTTTCTCCCTGTAAACCTGGTTTCGAGCTTCCGGGTATGCAACTTTTGTATTTTTTTTATTAATCACAAAGCCGATATATATTTATAGTATGAGAGTATTAACAATGAATGACAATGACTCTGCTGGTAAACTATCTATACTTTCTCCCTGTAAACCTGGGTTTGAGCCTCCGGGTACGCAACTTTTGTATTTTCTTATATATCACAAACCGATATATATATTCATGTTGTTGTTACCTTTCTTACTGTCCGAGGACTACGACGAACCGCAATTGGATCCACACTCACATTGACTCTTCTTTTTGCTGCTGAAGGACGTGAACTCTGTGATGACTTAGCTTCATCTTTCCCAAGTGTTGATGAAGGACCTGGACTCTGTGAAGAGTTGTCTTGATCTTTCCCAAATTGTCCTGAAGGTGTCGGGATCTCAGCTGCTGTGGTTTTTCCCGAGTGCATCTGAAGGAGCCATAAACTGAGACATTGTTTCTTTGATATCACCTCAGTATCGATCTTATCAAAACGCTCTTGCATCTTTTTCTGCACCATGTCCTTAAAAGAGGTGAACAACCCCTGAATAAAGGTCTTCATTTCACTGGAGACACCACTGTTATGTTCAGCTGCTCGTTGACATAGGAGTTCTCTCTTCCGAGACTCGACACCAGGATCATGGCGCTTACGCTTTGCCCTCTTGACAGCAGCTGTCGACTTCTCTGCAACAACAGGCGGCTCCGTGACATCTTCATTTTCAACATCATCTTCTTCTTCAGAAAAGAGATTGTTTGTTGGCAGAAACTCAACTTCCCAAACGAATTCCCTCCAGTCATGATTGGCTTTGATCATATCAACAATCATATCAACTCTTTCGTCCTTCTTCTCATCTTCTCTTTTGAACTCAGGATCATCAATCACACCCGACTTCCCACTTGATGATATAAATGGAAACAACTCTCCCTGCCATGAAAAAACAAAACAATCAACACCACAAAGAAAATATTGATCACAATATTAATAGAAGCAAGATAATTACCTTGTCAAAGTGGGATTCTAGGCTGATGATATCTTGATAAGATACTTTTCCACTTCCTGCCCAATTTCTACACCTCACCTTGACAATGTTTTTTTTTTTAACTTTTAGCCACCATAGTACCAATGTCTGAGACTGCCTCCATGATCCATATCTGAAACGCATATGAGAATCCATCCAAAACGTAGCTGTTTTTCAGATGCAAATCAGTCCTTGCCTTTAATATGGAAGCAATCAGCTCGTCATAAGCGCGAAGACTCCAAGGATACATTCTCATTTTCTCAAAATCCATCACCAAACGGATGTATTCTTGAGGGATATACACTTTCGGATCCTTAGCCACGATGAACCCATGTATAAGGCACAGATACACTAACCTCACCCTGTCCACATATGACCACTGGTTACACACCTTAAGTAGCTTGTCCC